CCTTTGTAGGGACATGGATGCAGCTGGAAACCATCATTCTCAGCAAACTATCGCAAGAACAGAAAATCAAACGCTGCATGTTCTCACTCATAGGTGGGAACTGAACAATGAGATTACTTGGACACAGTAAGGGGAACATCACACACTAGGGCCTGTTGTGGGTTGGGGGGATGGGGAAGGGATAGCATTAGGAGACATACCTAATGTAAATGATGAGTTAATGGGTGCAGCACACCAACATGGCACATGTATACATATGTAACAAACCTGCATGTTGTGCACATGTACCCTAGAACATAAAGTATAATAAAAAAAAAAAAAGAAAAAAATATGATACCACAAGAGTACAATCAACAAAATATAATTTTAGGAAATTTAAAAGACAAATGACTTAGGTTTTTAAACAAGTAAACTGCAAGAAAAAAATGAGAGCAGAGGAGAACTCGTAGATTTAAAGAAACTTAAAGGACATATCAACTAACTGCAGTGTGTGGATTCTAATTGGATTCTGATTTGAAAAACTGATATAAATGAGACAGACGGGGAGAGAGAGAGAGACAGACAATTCGGAAAATTTAAACACATTAAAATACTTGTTGATATTAAGAAATTATCATTGGCTTATTTATACATGATAACAGTATGGTATGTTTAAGACATCCTTGCCCATGACAGAGACATACTAAATACTTTCATGATACAATGATACTATGTTTAACAATTGGAGGTGGGGACAGAAAGTGTATATAAGTATAGATAAAACTATATTGACTTCAACAATGAAGGTTACACGAGCATTCACTATGCTATTTTTCTCTTACCTTTTTATATGTTTGAAATTTTTACATTACAATTGTTTTTTTAACGGGGGAAAACATTAAATAAGTACCTAGGGAGCCCAAGATACATGCTCTCCAACTCTCAATCTAGCACAGCTTCCTTAGAGAAAATATAGCCGAAGTCCATAATCTAACTCTCTCGGTCCCCCATTGAGATTCCCTATAACAGTGATTGACAGTAACTGAAAAGAAGGGCTGAATCCCTCAGATTTATTAAGGCAAAAGCTGGAGGGGAATCTTATCTGGAAAGAAAAACCTAGTGGGGGTATCATATTTTAAAAAATGATTTTCATGTAATAATGGATTCAAAGTGAGAAAACTCCAAGGACCAGGTGAGAATTAGCGAGAAAGGAGATAAGAGATCCTTATAACAGTCATGCTTTCTACTGGCAGATTTTCTCTCAATTCTTGTCATCATGATAGGATTTGGTGAAAGCTTTATGCTTTTTGAGATAGGTTAAATGGCAAGACCTCCTTCCATTCTCTCTCTCAGGTAAATGGGCACCGGCCAAGAAGAACAAAAGGTGTGATTTCTTGTCAGAAATAATTTGGGAGAAGCCTGGTTATCATAAGCTAATGCAGAGATGGAGATGTCCAAATTGCGCAGCTTGTTTCATTTTGGGTGGGCCTTTTTAGGAGACTATATGAAAAATAAGGGATAAGCAGGGGAACCTAGGCTTTCCCATATTAGAATGTTCAGTTTTTGGAAGCTAACTACTAATAATTGGCTAGAAAGAGTTTGGGTTTACCTACTCACCAAGAGGTGGCTGTAGCATACCCCCATTCTTTTCACAGTTCCCAATAGGCTGAATTTCAGCTGAGTCAACCAGCCGCCAGAAGTCATTTTTGTTGTCACTCCCATCAAGGCGCAGGCGAAGGCGGGCACCTGTCAGTCCAACTACTGTGGCAATACAGGTGGATGTGGTGTTCCTGGGGTCCTGTGCTTCCAATTTCATACTGATCTTGAATTCGTTGCTTGGAGGTGTGTAGGACTGGGAAAAACAAGGCATGAGGTTTAGACAGATTAACAGTAAACCCCCAAAATTCATGTTTTGGATTCAGATTGGTTATAGCTGGGCCAGGGACAACCAACTGAATTATTCCCTAATAATTAAGAAAGGTTTCATGCAAAAGAAACAACGAAAGGTAAGATGAAGGGTAAAAAATTACTTTCCAATGAAGCATCAAATAGACCCATACCAGTTAAAAAAAAAGGACAAGAATGTCTTATATAGGCCAGTTAATTAAATGTTTTCTCATCCTATAATTCTCTAACTCCCTACCCTTCCAGGTAGGGACTTTTTAGTCCCTTTTTAGTCTTTTTAGGACTACTACGTGCTATTAAACTACAATATTCTTTGTGTCTCTTTGTGGAATATTTTAGTATATTGATGTGTATATCTACCACACAGACTACTGGAGGTTAATTTTTTCTTATTTCGACAATAACTTACTAATCAATTCATACAATTGACATACAATAAACTATACACTTTAGTAAGTCTTGACATATGTATATGCCCATGCTACCATATACACCATATAAACCTGTGAAAGCATCACCACAATAAAAATAATGAACATGGCAAGTTCTCACATGCCCTTTTGTAATCTCTTCTTCTGGCCCCTCCAGGACCTCTGTACCCAGGCAACCAATGGTCTACTTTCTATCACTCTAGATTGCTTTGCATTTTCTAGTCTTAAAAGTAATCACAGAAGATGTACTTTCTTTTTTGCCTAGCTTCTTTCACTCAGCATAACTACTCTGATATTCAACCATATTAATAATTCATTTCCTTTTACTGTTGAGCAGTTTAACCGTGCTGATGGAGATATGGTTTGCTAAAGCGGCTAGAAACATTTAAGTACAAAATTTCGTGTAGGGAAATACACTTTCTTTCTTCTTGCACAAATACCTAGGAGTGAAATGGCTGGATCATATGGTAGGTATATGTTTAAATCACAAAACAGAAAATTAACCATTTTAAGGTATATAATTCTATGATTTTTAGAATATTCTCAGAGTTGTGTAAACACCATTCCTATCTAATTTTATAACATTTCCATAATCCCCCCAAAATGAACCCCATGCCCCAGTGGAGTCATTCCCCACTACCCTCTCAGCTCAGGCCCTAGAAACCATTAATCTACTTTCTGTTTCCATGGATTTACCTATTCTGGACATTTCATACAGATGTAATTATATGATGTGTGGCCAATATGTGAATAATTTCTTTCATTTAGCAAAATGGATTCAAGTTTCACCCATGTCAGTGAGTGTATCAGTACTTCATTCCTTTTCATTGACGAACAATATTCCATTGTATGGATATACATTTTGCTTACTCATTCATCAGCTGATGGACATTTGGGTTGTTTCCTCTTTTTGGCTATTATGAATAATGATGTGATGAACATTTATGGTATATTTTTCTGTGGACATGTTTTCTATTTTCTTAGGCATATACTTATGAGTGAAACTGCTGGGTCATGTGGTAACTCTGTTTAACATTTTGGGTAACCTCTGAACTGTCTTCTCAAGTAGCTACGGGATTTCATAATTTCACCACCAATGTACGAGGGTTCCAGTTTCTACACATCCTCAGCAACATTTGCCATTGTTTGTCTTTTTGATGTTAGAGTCATCTAGTCAATGTGATGTATATCTCACTGCAGTTTTGATTAGCATTTCTTTAATGACTACTGAGTATCTTTTATGTTCCTAACTGGTCATTTGTATATATTTGGAGAAATACCTATTCAAATTCTTTGTCCATTTTAAAATCATGTTGTCTTTTAATTCCCAGTTTTGTTTTGTTTTTGTTTTTTGTTTTTTTTTTGAGATGGAGTCTTGCTCTACTATTGCCCAGGCTGGAGTGCAGTGGGTCACTGCAAACTCTGCCTCCCGGATTCACAACATTCTCCTGCCTCAGCCTCCCAAGGCAGGGACTACAGGCACCCGCCACCGCACCTGGATAATTTTTTGTCTTTTTCGTAGAGATGGGGTTTCACCATGTTAGCCAGGATGGTCTCGATCTCCTGACCTCGTGATCCACCCACCTTGGCCTCCCAAAGTGCTGGGATTACAAGTGTGAGCCACTGCGCCCAGCCTAATTTCCGAGTTTTAAGAGTTCTTTCTATATTCTGGATACAAGTCCTTTACCAGATATATAATTTGCAAATATTTTCTCCCATTGAGTGGGTTGTCCTTTTCACTTTTTTGATGGTGTGGAAACAAAAATCTTTTAATTTTGATGAAGTTTAAGTTATCTATGTTTTCTTTTGTTGTTTATGTTTCTGGTGTTGTATTATCTAATCCAAGGTCATGAAGATTTCCTCCTATGTTTCTTTTAAAGAGTTTTGTAGTTTTAACTCTTACATTTAGGTCCATGATCCTCATGAAGTTAATTTTTGTATATGGCATAGAGGTAGGGTCCAACTTCACTTTTTTCTATGTGGATAAGCAGCTGTTCCTGCACCAGTTGTTGAAAAACCCATTGAACTGTCTTGGTATCCTTGTGAAAAATCAATCGACCATAAATTGGTGGGTCAATTTCTGTACTCTCAATTTTAATTCATGGATCTGTACGTCTATCTTCCTGCCAGAACCATGACATCTTAAGTACTGTAGCTTTGTAGTAAGTTTTGAAATCAGGAAATGTGAATGCTTTAGCTTTGTTCTCTCTTTTCACGATTGCTATGGCTATTCTGGGTCTCTTCTAAGAATTTTAGCACCAATTTGTCAATTTCTGCAAAAAAGGCAGCTGGGATTTTGACAGAGATTGTGTTGAATCTACAGATCAATTTGGAAAATAATGCTGTCAGTTATGTCATTTGCAAGTATAGTCATGTTCCACATAATGACGTCTGGTCAACAATAGACTATATATAGATTGTGGTCCCATAAGATTACAATGGAGCTAAAAAATTCCAGCATCCTAGTTATACTACAGCTGTTTTAAGGTCCTACAGCAACATATTACTCACATTTGTGGTGATGCTGGTGTAAAAAAACCTACTGTGCTGCAAGCTGTATAAAAGTATAGCACATACAATTATGTACAGTACATAATACTTGATAACAAATTACTATGTTGCTGGTTTATGTGTTTAATATATATTTTTAATCATTATTTTAGAGTGTATTCTTTATACAAAAATAAAAGTTAACTAAAAAAACAGACTCAGGCAGCTCCTTCAGAAGGTATTCCAGAAGAAGGCATTGTTACCATAGGAAATTACAGCTCCATCCATGCACGTAACTGCCCCTGAAGACCTTCCAGTAGGCTCAGAAGTAGAAGTGGAAGACAGTGATACTGATGATCCTGAGTCTGTGTAGGCCTAGGGTAATGTATGTGTTTGTCTTAAGTTTTGTAACAAAAAGAGTTTAAAAGGTAAAAAAAAAAAATTAAAATTAAAAAAGTAAAAATTATTTTTGTACACCTGTACAATGTGTTTTAAGCTAAGTATTATTACAAGAGTCAAAAAGTTAAAAAATTTAAGTTTATAAAGTGAAAAACTTACAGTAAACTAAGGTTAACTCCTTACTGAAGAAAAATGTTTAAACAAATTTAGTGTAGCCTGGGTGTACGTGTTCATAATGTTGACAGTGGTATGCAATAATCTCCTAGGCCTTCATGTTCATTCACCACTCACTCACTGACTCACTCACAGCAATTTCCAGTCCTACAAGCTCCATTCATGGTAAGTGCCTGATACAGGTGTACAAGTGTTAGTATACCTTTTATACCGTATATTTTTTTACTGTACCTTTTCCATGTTTAGATATGTTTACGTAGACGAATATCATTGTGTTACAACTACCTACAGTATTCAGTATAGTAACATGCTGGACAGTTTTGTAGCCTAGGAAGAATAGGCTATGGCCTAGGTGTGTAGTAGGCTATAGCAACCAGGTTTGTGCAAGTATATTCTATGTTCGCACGACGATGAAATTGCTTAACAATTCATTTCTTAGAGCATATCCCTATCGTTAAGAAATGCAAAACTATTCTCTCATAGTCTGTGACCTGTATTTTTGTTCTCTTACCAGTATCTTTTGAAGAGCAGAAGTTCTTAAGTTTGACAAAGTGCACTCTATTTTTTTAATGAATCAAAATTTTGGTCAGGCATCTTCTAAAGTTTCCTTTATATAAATTTTGCATATTTGTTAGTTCCACCCCTGCCCCACCCAAAGTAGCTGAACCATTTTGCATTTTCACCAGCAGCATATGAAAGTTCCATTTATTCTACATCTTTGCCACTATTTAATATGGTCAGCCTTTTGAAAATCTAAGCCATTTAAATAAATGTATAGTGATAGCTTACTAATCACTTTTAATTTGTATTTCCCTAATGAAATAATGGTATTGAGCATCTCTATTCATGTACTTTCTTGTCCTGTATACATTTTCCTTGGTGTTTGTTCTAATCTTTCAACCCAGATCCCTTTTATTTCTTTTTCTGGCCTATTTGCATTGGTAGTACAATACTGAATAAAAGTGGCAAGAGCAGATATCCTTGTCTTGTTCCTGACTTTAAGGGGAAAGCATTTAGCCTTTTCGCCATTAAGTATGATATTATTAAATGCCCTTTATGATATGAATAAATGCCCTTTAGAGTTTAGGATTTAGAAAGTTCCCTTCTATTTCTAGTTTGGTGAGCGTTTTTAGTTTTTATTTAGTAATAGACATTTAATTTTCTGAAATGCTTTTTCTGCATCTATTGAGACAATAGTAGTTTTTTTCTTTAGCATGTGTACATATGGTAAATTCCACTGATTAATTTTTGAAATTGAAGCCAACTTTGCATTCCTAGAATTAACCCCACTTGGTCATGATGAGTTATTCTTTTTACATATTGTTAAATTTTTTCCCTTGAATTTTACTTAAAATGTTTACATTTATTTTCATGTATGATATGGCTGCACAGTTTTCTTTTCTTTCAATGTCTTTGCTTGGTTTTGGTGTCAGAAATGTTTGCCTTCATAGAA